GAGGCAGCCTTAAAGTGGCAGGAGGAGTTAAGGCATTTTAGTGTCCTACGCAATTTCATCAGTAAGGCTCCGCTTTTTATTCAGTAGACAACAAAAACAATTGAGCCTACGCAAGGATGTTTGAAGGCGGATTACGTTCAAGTAGAGACACAATACCTGGACTTTTCTTCTTTCAGCTCTTTCAAGGGCTTGGCGGGATAATGTTTAACACGGAAGTTCAGTGATCGAGGGATGACATCTGTAAAAAAGGTAAACACCACCGCATAACAGTCCTGTCTTGATTGTCCAATTCGAATTGAGGGGGGAGACGGGACGACAAAGACTCACTCTTGAGTTGTTTGTAAACAGTTTTTGAAAGATCGAGCCATTGCTGTAGCAAAAAGACGGATGAAGGTGTTAATGACCTCAAAGGAGAAGCACAGAAAGGCAACAAAGAGGCGTCAACACACCCTTTGCTTGTTCTTGTCCAAGTAACGCAAACCGAAGTAGTCGCTTTCCAGGAGGCCGCCCAGTTTACTTATCACCTCGTCAAACAGCCACTGACCAAAAGCTGCAGCCTTGAAATAAGTCAAAATGCCTTCATCAATTCGCCCATTCAAACAGAAGAGGCGACAAGTAAGTAAAGAGGTAAAAATCACAATTTTTTGGACGTGATGAACCAATTTGGTGTACTTTTTTGTGCAAAATTGTGTAAGCAAATTCACACAAGGCTGCACTTTCGACTAGGCGGAGGCCATTTTTAGCATCTTTTTTGAGAGAGGGTGGCAGAGCAACTTCCACTTTTGCAAGCATTTCAAATAAGTCAAAGGCGAACATCCACGTTGGCATCTACATGAGCAAAGGCACACTGCGACGACATCACTAAAAACTGGCAGGAGGCGACGAAAGCATTTGACTACTGTCCAAAGTGGTCGCCGTTTTTCCCTTCGCCTCTCTCCACACCTCTTCGGACAACGTTGGTTGAGGAGCAGCTTGGGGTGCAAATGGATGACTTTAAGTGAAAATATTGATGCTACTTAAATTTGTAAAGTAGTGCGACGATTAACAGAATAAATGAGGACACATTAATGAGAAAATGAAGATGAGGGCGGTCAGACCATGCGACTTAGGTAAAATGACACTCATATAGGCAACAACACATTGCCATGTCAAAGGCAGCCGCTGCATTAAACTTTGCCCTTCCACACCCCTCCGAATAACCTTCATCGAGGCTGCTGGCAACAGTTCAGAGGGGATTACCATGGCACACCGCGTGGTGACGATGTTTGGAAGTGTAGGAGCCAGAGACCAGGAACACACACAGTTTTGACGCACTCAAATCTCCATGTGGGAAATGGATTGGAACTTTGCAATGCTGGTCTGGTTGAAGGGATCTCAGAATATCCAGTTCATTTCATTCAACACCCTCGATCCAAAGACCCTCTCTGACCGCCTAATCGAACAACAGCCTGGTAGAATAGTTGATAAGATAGACAGTTGAAAGGTGCATGCGTCGGAGGTCCCACAAACTCCCAGTCGTACCTCCTCGAATGTAAAATGTGTGTGTGTTTGTGTGTGTTTAATCACCCATGTGAAATGAAGATTTCGTGCGCTAGTTTGGTTTAACAAAATAAAACCTACCTAACCCAACTGACTGAAAATTCAACTGTGCAAATCTTTGGATCTGGAGTGTGGAACGAATGAAAACGTGAACCGCGTCCAGCCACAAAACCACTTACTCAAGTTATTATTGCGAAGTAAGTCAGAATGCTGTCCTCACAGCTTTAGCAGAACCTCTACACCATCATTTTCCCCATCCAAGTCATGCAGGTCGTACAGCTGAAATGCTAGAAATTCTAACTTGGGCATTTATAAAAAAGAGGATGGACAGTTGGTAAACAAGTTGAGGAGGAAAAAGGCACAAAAAACGAAGAATGACAAAAAAAGGGTTTCGATAAGTCTTGGTGTACGTTGGAGATAAATTACTGCATAGAAGTGAATCTGTTGTACAAAATGTGATTGTCAAACGATGACACTTCGGCATCTATCCTAAATATGTATACGTACTCCTGGTATTAGATGAACCCTTAAAGCCATGCTTGAACCATTTAATGATAGTTATTTTACAAAAGTCGTCACTGCTTCACTGAAGCAGGATGATTGGTCATGAGGCCTCCCTATTTCTACGGTAGTTAGTCAGATAGGGCGTAAACAGTGACTAGGGCATAAAAAGGGAAGGGAGAGTTGTTGACGCCCAAACCTCGTCGTGCCACACCTTTCCTGGCGCACTGCAATTGGTGCATTCGATTAACGCGGTGGCAGCAGTCGCGAGCGGTGCTGCAAATAACGCAATTGTGGTTTTTTACTTAAAAAGTAACGCGGCTGAACCACATCACCGGCAGTGATGCATGAATGATCCAAAATTATCAAAACCGGTTAAGAAAGTCATTTCATATGAATCGTTTGACGGTGATCTCAGTTAGAATTTGATTGGATAGGGTCTTTTGGACAATTACAATGTCTAATTTTAGATTGTAGGCTCTAAAATCACCAGCCGCACTGCGCTTCACTTCCTTCTGCCAGTAACATACTCAATTTGGAAATCTTAGAACTAAAGTCTTCGCTAAACGTCAATCAAGCTTGGTTTGAAAAGTTTAATGCACATGATGCATTAGCCAATCAGAAACAAGTCCAGAGTTCCCTTGTTTAATCGAAGTTGAGATGTTGTAAATGCTTTCCCTGGATGGTGTCACATTCATTAAGACCAGTTGGTCATACGAAAATCCACTTCTTCATCATCATAATCATCACCATCAAGAGTCGAAGGTGCTGATGAAAACTTTCGGGCTATCAATCATTCATTCACCCGTTTAAGATTTATGCCTCCACTTTTCACCTACCTACTTGGAAGCACTTGTTCATTCAAATAACGTTCCTCCGGTCAATCAGCTGCCATGAAAATAGACTTCAAAGAAAGGATCCAGTCCATTCACCTTCATTGCACTCACGAACTATTTGATGCTTTGGTGACTTGGAATATGCGGAAGGTAATGCAGAGCTGCTGCTATGGTAATCGGAGTTGTTGATTTTCTGACGCTTGCAAAAACTAAATCTGAAAACGCAACAGCTTACTTAAACGGAGATGTCACACGCTTTGCTGCATTGCCATGGAATGGCAAGTCATATGAAGATGGTTATCTGAATGTTGGAGCCGCGGAAAGGGTAGATGTCCCTCAAGGAGGTGGTTGGCGCAACACACTCATTCGCAAATGCCAAGTGCTGATGATGCTGATGCTGAGGTGATCATGGAATTTCAAAAGAGCTCAGCTGAATTAATAGTGACCATTAAAGTTTGCATTTGCTGCTCTCCAAATCATTTATAAAAATAAAAGCGTTGGGGTAAACTTGCATTAACATCAATCAGCAGAGCCTCTTGCTCATCATTGAGCAACTTGACTTCCACAGTGAAGTGAACATGAGCTGCGTCGGCACCTCGACCGCTTCCAACACTGGGAATTGGTGAGTAGACAGCAGTGTTGTTGTAGACCACCTTGGGCAGTGTACTGTTTTGTGCAGTGTCAGCGCTTATGGCAAACTTGACGGAGGCTGAACGAGTCCCAGGAGGAGTAGCCACCACCGGACTACCGTTGACCGAAATTGCGCCAGGAGTTGTGGAACTCTGCAGAGAACGACGACGAAGGCTGGAAAATCGTCTGCGAGGCGATGCTGCATTCGACCTTGAGGGAACCAATGAAAACTTTACTTAGCGATCGGTAAAACCGAGGGTCGTTTAGACGGCGCCTAAGATGAAACCTTTAAAAATTTAGTTGAATAAAGTCTGCAAATGTATTAGCCAAAACAACAGATAATTTAATTTCGGAATAATTTAATTGTATTTGTCCCTTTTAAATATTTTAGGGCCTAATCATACCGTATGGAAGAAGTTTACTGGTTTCACCGAGTTCTTCTAGTTCTTCACTTATGCCGTGGTCATTAAGTAGAAGGAAAAACCTAAAATATGCGCCAAAGTCGAATGAAAGCGGCGTTGGAACCAACCGCCCATTTCAACTTCCTCTTGGTACATAAAATCGAGCAATGACATCGTGGGCGCTTTGGGAAGGCATTTTATGCATAAAAATGTACCATCATCGTCACTTCAATGTGGACCTCAAACAAGGATAGAAAATAGTACTAAAAATTAATTCAACTCGTTCCGCCCTCCCGAGGAGACACAGGATGAATGAAGAAAAGTAAACATCTTTGGACGGAATTTACATTTCGTCCACACCTACAAAGTCTCGTCGACCTCATTCCGCCTTGCCATATTTGTAAACAATGAAGTAGAGTGAGTAAAAAGAGAGAAAGGCGAAGACAAAGTGTGGGAGAGGGAGAACGAGACAGCAGAGCCTCCTCCACTTGCCCTGATCAGTATGCGCATTGTAGGAGGAAGTTGTGCACAGAATGTCCATTGCAGTGGACATTTGAAGATCAGTGGAATATGCACAGTACCTTCCGGACGATGTCTTGAACTTCAGGAAACAAATTAGGTGAAGCTGACACAACTGAAACACATCCAGCGCTATCAACTCAAATTTGGTGATGCAAGGGTTTAAAGTATGAGGGAAGGTGGTGGAGAATGCAGACCGAAGTGCAAGAGACCACCTTGTGTGTCATCAAAGCAGGTTTCGAAAGCCACAGCAAAGCTTACAATACAACGAACGCTTGTGAATGAAACATGACAACATAATGCTTCAAAAGAATTTATTCTTTTGCAAGTGAATTTAGAAGAAGGCATTAGAGAAGTTCGACTATTTGACCGCCTGTGGGACTGGCGATCCCCAGCTGGGGACTGCGTGACTTGGTCTTCGGTCCAAGGCAAAATCTCAACTTCTTCCCCTGCCCCCAGTCTTGCCAAACGCCTTCCACCACCTAATGGAAAGCCTCGGGATGTTACATGGCTGACAGTGGAAAAGAAACTTCACATTGTTATCACTTCTCCACCGTTTGCTAGTGAAGAGCATAACTATCAGACGGGCAAATCTTTCATCTCGTCACAGTAATGAAGGGTTGAGAACGACGTCTGTGTTTGCCATCTGCTGCATTCCCGTACTCCACACGCATCTCCATCCACACCATCGTCATTCATTCAAAGGAGTTTCGCTTCTCACTTGCCCTTATCACATTCCCGTAGAGATGGAGTCGCCTCCACACCGGGTTGTGTGCGTCTCCGAGCCCACCTCTACGCCATGTTTCGGTGCCTGATCGTGAACACAACTGACTGTCATCAGAAGTTCCCTCCTCCTCCTCCTCCTCCTCCTCCTCCTCCTCC